AGCAGGAGGAGGAGGAGGAAGAGGAGGAGGAGGAGGAGGAGGCGGAGGAGGAGAAGGAGAAGGAGGAGGAGGAGGAGGAAAAGGAGGGAGGAGGAGGAGGACGAGGAGGGATCAGGAGGAGGAGGCGGAGGAGGGGAGGAAGAGGAAAAGGAGGATAAGGAGGAGAGGAAGAGGAGGGGGAGGGGGAGGGGGAGGGGGATGAGGAGGAGGAGGGAGGAGGAGGAGGAGGAGGAGGGGGAGGGAGTGAGGAGGAGGAGGAGGAGGAGGAGGAGGAGGAGGAGGAGGAGGAGGCGGAGGCGGAGGCGGAGGAGGAGGAGGAGGAGGAGGAGGAGGAAGAGGAGGAGGGGAGGGGGAGGAGGAGGAGGAGGAGGAGGAGGAGGAGGGGGAGGAGGAGGAGGAGGAGGGGGAGGAGGGTCTCGCCCTCTGCCGCCGCCCCACCCTCAGATGGCTTTCCATGCCACGCTCGGTCGATAGGCTGGTTGGTGTTCTTGGCTGTTGGCTGGCTGGCAGCACGGCTGATCGGCATGCTGTCTGACTTTCGTCAAAATAGTACAGAAATATTCAGGTGACGATGTTTTGACTTTTTTTTGGGCATCCGGGGAGTATTTTCATTATGTTTAGAGATTTGTCGCCCAAATCAGCCTGCAGGGGGGCACGCCCGACCCAACGCCAGGCCCATCCTGAACCCCAGGAGCTGTGTGTACGCCCTTCCCTGGTCGAGCCAGGAAGGCGCGGCCGGGATGGAGGATGGGCTTGGCCAGGGAGCAGTGGGTCAAGCAGTGGCGAAGCGTCCTGGCGTGCCAAAAGGCCTACCACATAATGTTCTGAGAACCTTGTTTGTGGCTTCCACGGAATGTTCTTGGAATACTTCTGATTGGGACTGTCTTGTGTTAGCACATCAGGCTTATGTCCTAAGAACACGGGTTTTGGTCTTGGAACAGTTTGGGGGTCTAAGAACATTTCGTGGTATGCTGGCCTATAGGATTGCCGGGGCGGTCGGTCCCTGCTCAAAATTTGACGGTTGGCAGTTGATTTGGTATGTTTGTTGGCCAGTTGGTCGTGCGCGCGCGTCTGTTCTGATAGTGACGGGTAGTGGTCTCGGGAGCGCGTTTCCATTCTGTTCAAGGTTCGCGATTTCGGGGGTGCGCACCGCAGGCCATTTTCGCGGATTCGCGGCTTCGGGTCTTGAGCCGAATCTCAGGAAGACGCAGGTGCCGAAGAGCACCCCTTGACCACGTAATTCCTGGCGCAGCGAGTGTTAGCCGGCGTGGACCCCAAGCAGTGATATCTTGCAGCACATGCTGTGCAATCCAGGTGGTGCAACCCCTATGGTGCAGTCGAGATGGTGCAATCCATGTGCTGCAATCGATGTGGCGTAGAGCAACGCAACGCAATGCGAAGCAGTGCGAGTCCATGTGACGCAGTCCGTCAAACGCCAAGTGGAAACCAAACCGCGAGAAGAGTAGCACTATTGATTCCCCTTTGGCCTTGGAGGGATATCTGCCTCTTGCGGGGGTCTTCTGGAGGCTCCTGGAGCACATGGAGCCATATTGTACGTCTTTTGGGGCCCCTGGGAGTCATGATGAAGGCCAGCTTGAACCGTCTTGAAGGCCATCTTGGAGATGGGAGGCCCTCCTGGAGCCATCTTTGGAAATTGGTGGTGCTCTCACCGCGCGCGAGAGCCAAGCACAACAGGGCTCAGCATGACTCAGGGAGAGGGGGCGAGAAGGGTTTTGGAAGCGGGAAGCGGGTTTCGCAAGAGGGAAGCGGGCTTTGGAAGAGGGAACAAGAAGGGTGCCCCTCCCGACGGTGAGCGGGTTTTGGAGGAGGGGAGAAGAAGATGGTTCGACCACCTACGCCCATGCGGCTGGTGGGATTTACAAAGGATTGTGGCCTCGGATGCGCGAACCCGTCTATGATGAGCCTGCTTTCCACCACCACCACCATAAGTTGGAGGGGGGAAGGACGTGCAGGAGGAGGAGGAGGAGGAGGAGGAGGGAGAGGAGAAAGACGAGGAGGAGGAGGAGGAGGAGGACGAAGAGGGGGAGGAGGAGGAGGAGGAGGAGGAGGAGGAGGAGGAGGAGGAGGAGGAGGAGGAGGACCCCCCCCCCTCCAACTTATGGTGGTGATGGTGGGAAACACGCCCATCATACTAAATGTACGAGGGTCTGCAGCTTTGGGAACGCGAGCGCGCGGTGATTCCTTGTGGACTCTGGCAGTGGCAGCGCGAAGCCGTTGTTCCCCAATCAGTGCTTGCACTGAAGGGGTCCTCGCGGAAGTTGAGAAAGATTTGCCGAAAGTTTACCTCCGAGTTTGGTAGCCAGCTGTGTTCCCTGATTCCCGGTTCCGGGTTCCCGGGTTCCCATCTAGGGCGGCAAATCGGCCAGTGGGGCCCAGGCCACGCCGCTGGGGATGAGGATCGGTTAAACGATGCTCAGGGAGCTCTCCTCGCCGCGTCGCGCCCATCGCTTCCTCCTCCTCCTCCCCCTCCTCGTCCTCCTTTTTCTGCTGCTGCTGCTGCTGTTCCTCCTCCTCTTCCTCCTCCTCCTCGTCCTCCGCCTCCTCCGCCTCCGCCTCCGCCTCCGCCTCCTCCTCCTCCCCCTCCTTCTCCGCCTACTCCTCCGCCTCCGCCTCCTCCTCCTCCCCCTCCTCCTCCGCCTACTCCTCCGCCTCCTTCTCCTCCTTCTCCTCCTTCTCCTCCTCCTCCTTTCCTCCTCCTCCTCCTCCTCCTCCTCCTCCTCATCTCGGTTACGCTCCTATCCTGCGATCGGGCGGAGCCGGCCCTTGCCGTGGTGGTCGGCCGTGGGCGCATGGGTTCCGTCGTGTCGACATAGATGCCTTGGCTTCGTGTTCGGCCATTCGCGCGTGAATTCGGGCTGGGCCCGGGGATTCGGGCGCGCACCCAACCATTGTGTCGATACGCTGAAGTCGTGCCTGTCCTTCTGCGGGGGGAATACTCAAAAATTGTCAAAAATAGTCGGGAGACGATCTTTCAGTACTTGTTCTTCATGTTCGAACTTTTTGTCACAATTTTTAATTGTTCCTCCAAGATCCCCCCTGCAGGGGGACAGGCCCGACCTAACGAACGATACGCGGCACTTCTCCGCGTTTGGCCGCGAACACGCGCATCTCGCGTCGGGGGCTTTTTTTGGCCCCCGTCGGAAATACCACCCAGGACTCACGACCGCCCGGCCGGACGAACCGCACAGCATCCCAACAATCACAATACCATTAAGTCGGGCCTGTCCCTCTACAGGAGGAATATGCAAAAATAGGCAAACAATAATCCAGGGACGATTTTTGAAGATTTTTACCATGTTTGGGCATTTGTGGGGTATCTTGTATTTTTCGTCCAAAATCCGCCTGTAGGGGGACACGCCCGACTTAATCCTACCGCCGTGCAGTACGCGTGCGCCACCGTTCGATGAATATGTGCAGGGGGCGGAGCATACAGTGGGAGCACGGGAACCTGCTGCTCGCGAGATGGAGACATCCATGGCCAGGAGGGCTCGTGGTCGTCACTGTCACGTTTTCCGTCCCGCACGCGTTGTTGGACCGTCGGGCGGCCGTTTAGCGGAGGTGAACCTGGCCAACGGCAACCTCCGCACATTCTCTCCCTGTCGCGCGCCCGTTCTGCATCGCCCCCCCCCCCCCCCTCTTAGAGGCAGCGCTCGGGAGGGATACGCAGGCTCGCGTCCTCCGCAGATTGTCCACTGCTCGCCGATAGGGGCCCGCTAACCAGGCCCGCCCAAATCGTGCTCCGAAGCTCAAGGGACCCACGGACACACAAATAGATACACACAAATAGCAAGATTGCCAATCTTTTCCCATATTTTCTTGGTTTTTGTCTTCCCCCCACTGCCCATATTTTCCCTATATGTTCTGGGGAATCGACGACTCATTGTGTCTGTGTGTTTTTGTCCCTCCTGAGAAGCTCTTGCGAGGCTCCTTGGAAGTACGCCTCACGAAGTCTGCAGGCTCCCCGGGCAGGCAGGCCCAGCGCCCTGGCGAGCGTCTGCCGCCGGGTTGCTTTCTCACCTCGCCAGCTGCCCAGGCAATACCCTCCAGGAGGGAACAAAACACACAGACACTAATCGTCGATTCCCCCGAAAATGTGGGGAAATATGGGAAGTGGGGGGGACGAACAGCCCCGAAAATATGGGAAACTAATTGGGGAATGTTGTTATTTGTGTGTATTTCTTTGTGTGTCCTGGGGCCCCTTCAAATACCTTTGAGCCCCCTCGCCAGCGCCCCCGATTCGTGCGCGATGGGTCCCCCTCTGAGCCGGTTCCCCCCCCCCCACTGGTCGCCCAAGAGCGTGCTGCCTCGCTATCAGGGGCGGAGGGGGGGCGTCGCTGATAAGTCGGCGGCAACGCATCGCCGGTTCGTGCTCGATGGGTCCCCCTGAGCCGGTCCCCCCCCCCGCTAATGGTCGCTCCCTGCCCCACCCCGCAGAGCTCCGTCACGAGTTTGCACAGCGCGGGCCCCGCCCTGGAGGTCGGGCCCCTTCCGCTAAGTCGGGCGTGTCCCTCTACAGGGAGAAAATTCAAGAATTGGCAACGCATAGTCTTGGGGCGATTTTTCTTCTATTTTTGATTATGTTGGGGTATGTTTTGAGTATTTTTTGTTTTCCTCCAAAATCAGCCTGTAAGGGGACACGCCCGACTTAACCCTTCTGCCAAACCAGTTTTCACCCCCCGAGTTGTCTTTTGATGGTCCACCTGGGGAAGGCACCTGGAGGCCGAAAATGACCAAGAGCCGTCCGTCGCATTTATTCCACTTGGAGACAAGGCGGGGGCCCCTCCTCAAAGGAGGACAACCCACCCGGACCCGACAATTGGCGTTTATTACACGTCCCTGGCCGTTTACTACACAGCCCTGCCCTGTTTGATTCCTCCTTTGGGTGGGTTTAGTAAACGGCTTCCCACGTCGGGGTGGTTATAATCGGGGTGGGTGTTCTGCCCTCTGCCTCCCGCATCCGTGCTGCGACCGCCTTCCGCAGTCATCCAGATCATTCCGGGCACGGTCGCGCCCCCCCCGGGCCGGGGGATGAGCACCGTGGTGCGCAAGCCGCACGGAGGCGCGGTTGTGCAAGAGGATGGGCGGTCCTGGCGGCTGATCTTCGTGGCGCTCGGCGAAATCGAAGCCTCCTCCTCATCCTCCTCTTCCTATTCCTCCTCCTCCTCCTCCTCCTCCTCCTCCTTCTCCTCCCCGTCCTCCTCCTCCTCCTCCTCTTTTTCGTAGTCCTCCTCCTCCTCCTCCTTTTCCTCCTCCTCCTCCTCCTCCTCCTCCTCCTTCTCCTCCCAGCGCCTCTGGCTCAGATTGATTATGAGCTTGGTCGTGCGGACTTCAGAACGGCGCTGCACGACCGAACCTTTTCTTGGCTTTTTTTGTCCCACAGCCTACCGTTTGCAGGTGGCGCCTGCACAGTTCAGTCGACAGTACGCCGGTGGCGCCTATCTTCGATCACGACGAAGCCATGTCGCCTTGGTCCAGCAGGCCAGCACCCCACCGCGTCTTCAAGTGGAACTGCCCCTGCGGCTGCGCCAAAATATTTTCGAACTGGTGGTACTGCAAGCACTGCAAGGAGCAGTGGCACCTTAAGACGTGTGTCGAAGTTTCTCCTGCTGCCCGCCGTGCTGACGACGATGATGACGCCTGGCAGTCGTGGGACAAGGAGGCCCTTACCCCAACTGGTCAGAAAACTTGCCCCCCCGCTTCCACCTGGCCCTGTCGGCGCAGGAAGAGGTTCGCGGCCAGGAGTCATCTCATCAACGCGGACGGGATCAGCATTGAGGGCCTCATCTCTTTGGCTGCGATCGCGACGCGCCAGGGACAGGCTGCTCTTGCTAAGCAGTACGACGCGGCTCGTGAGATGCTGGTGCAGCAGGCCAGGGCAAAGGTGCTGCCCCCCGTCTCTCTTTTTACTCGGGCCTCGCAGGCTCAGTCCAAGATCCAGAGCGCGGAGAAGCGACTCGACACAGAGCTTTCCAAATTGGAGCGCTGGCGTGCAGAAGTCGTCGCCCTTGAGAACACTATCCAAGATATGTCTGGCGAGATGGTCGCGCTGGAGAAGAACTACTCGGAGCTGGCGTCGCATATCAGCATGGAGGTCCAGCCGCCCGCCCCGAAGAAGGATTCAGCTCCGAAAGGCCCGTCCATCAGCCTCCGCGCCCTGATGGAAGCTGAGGAGGTCAACTTCACCCTGGAGGATGACCCGCTGGAGGATCTGCCCACAGTGACCGGTCGGAGTGGGTCCCTTTCAGAAGCTGGACCACATTGAAAGCAAACAACACACATTCAAGCTATCATGGGGGCTGCTCAAGGACTGGGAAGCCTCCCCCTTTCATCCCCGCGTTGAGCTTGACGCGACCCCGAATCTGTTTTTTGTCAGGGCGTCCTGCCTCGGTCGAGGATTGGAATCATGTGCGCGTAGCGGGTGGCCCTTCCCTTGGGCTTGAAGGCTTCGCGGGCCTGTCGCCCCCCATTGCCCGACAGGTGGCGGAAAAGCTTAGTCAGGGTGCTCGGGGCGCTCACTGCGCCACTGAAGACCCCATGGTGTGGAAGACCTGCACCGCGTTTCCGGCCGAAGGGCAGCTCGTTTCTGACCCCCAGCAGCTGCTCGACGCGGAGGTCAAAACGCATTCGGGCCTTTAGCAGGTTCGAGAGACCCCCCATAGGTAGAGGGGGGAAAGTTCTGGCACCCCCATCTTGGATGCAGAGGATTTCCAGGAAATTGAGCAGGATGTACCCTTCGAGGGGCGCGGTCTCATCCGATGGATTCCACATGGAGCACTTCCAGCATATGAGCGACGGCAGTCTGGAGTTGCTCTGTGCGATTCTTGCGCTGTCGGAACGGTCGAGCATTCCCCCTACCCAGCTGTCTGCTGCCCCGGTGCCCCCCCTGGCTAAAGACAAGGGGGGCCTCTTCCCCATCGGTGTCTTGCCCCCGGTTCTCCGCCTCTGGGGGCGGGCCCGCGGGCCTTTGGCGGAGGCCTGGGAGACAAGGTTTTCTCGGGACTACTGGGCAGCTGAAGAAAAAACAGGGGCGCCCTTGACTACGTTTGGCGTCGGGCTTTCAGGTCCGACGCAGGAGTTAGAAAAGGCTCTTGCGCGGCCACAGTTCATTGTGATATTATAAGTATTACTTGCTGATTGATCTTGAAGCCCCCGAAATTCGCGGCAGTAAACATCAGTTCCCTCTGTGCGCCACTCGTGGCATCATTGCTGGATGCAGTATGGCCACTGCTCTCATCCGGGCGCATGCAATTGACGCCGTCGATACTGCCCCCTCGGTCGTTGCAACCTGCATACCATCGCTTGAGAAGCAAAGTCGTTCGCCTTGTTTGGTGCCTATATCGACGACGCGAGGCTTTCAGCCATAGGTTCGAGGCCGTTCGCACGAGAACCCATCCTGAACATGGCCGCTTTGCTTCTCGCTGGCGTCATGCAGATGCTCGGAGGCTCTGTTGCGTTGGACAAAGTGGCCCTCGTCTGCTCTTGCAATTCTCTCGGCAAGCAGGTGGAGGCTGACCTGGGCCAGCTCGGGGCGCTGGAGGCCTCCGCTGTTCACCTCGGCTGCGACGACACGGCCGGCAAGGCTTTCAGGACGGGAAGAGGGGGAATGCGCGAGAGGCAGGAGAGGAAGAGGACGACGCTCCGGACGGTCAAGAGGTTGATGAAGATGCGTTCGCATTTTGGCAGGAAGGTTGTGAAAGTTGTTGTGTCGGGGCCTATGCCGGGCTATTTCTTTGGCTGTGAGGTCCAAGGCCTCGCCGACGGCGAAGTGCACGGCATCAGGCGCATGGCTGCCAGCGCGATCACGCCTGGTGATGCGAGGCGGTCTCTCATTGTTCTTTCGCTCCTGGACGGGGGCCCTTTCTGGTGCGATTCAGTTACCCCCATCCTTCGGCATGTCGAAGAAATCTGACTCCTTCGGGCTCGCGAGTTCCAGGGGGGCATCGACTGGGCCACGATCTTCCGGGGAGAGCATCTTCGCTAGTCGTCAGCAGACTGTTACCTGGGGGAGGGTTCCCGGGCCCATGGGCGCGATGTTCATGAGCCTTGAGAGGATGGGATGGAACATGAAGAACCTAGCTGTCTTGATTGATGATACGGGCCGCGAAATCTCTTGTGCCCTGCAGTCGCCTGCTATGTTCAAGGCGCTGCTCAGGCAGGCTTTTCTTCGCCGGCTGGAGAGGGCAGCGTGCCGCGAGCTGGTCGAAGGTGGCCTGTTCTGTTGTCTTGCTGCTCCAGCTGCTGACGCGGACTTAGCCCCAGCGAGCAGTTGGCCCCCGATCGGATTCCCCCCGAGTTGACGGGATCGAACCGTCTCTGTTGCGATCTCGCCGCGAATGGCCCCCGCTCGAAGAAGTTCACCGCTTGGGAAAAGGGATCCCTGAGAGCCCTTGTCTGCAATGATATCTGGACCAACTCGCGTGCGCTGAGGCGCGGCTACCAGGTTAGTCCCCTGCTGTGCTCTTTGCAAAACTAAGTCGGGCAGCATTTTTCACCGTACCTGGGAGCGCGAGGCCTGCCAGGGCGAGCGAGCCGAGTTGGTAGATGCTGATCAGATTCTGTGGGCCAAGGAAGCCCCTGATAATAATGTCCCCGACCTGATCAATTCCCTTATCGGTGCCTTCGCTCACCCTGGCGGCTTCGCCCCGCCCCCTTTCAAGCAAGATTGAATGGCGAGCGTGACTGTGGAACACTTCCAACAAGGATTCCCGGATTCTGGTTTGGAGTCTCCTGGGCCCGAGTCTGTAAAGTACCCAGGACATTTGTTTCTGGGCGGCAGTTGTTTCTTCTCCAAAAGTCGCGAGATCTCCAGGGCTGGTGGGGCATTCGTGATGCTTCATGGTCAAAGGCCACATGCTGGCCCGCGTGCGCGGGCCTGCGTGGGCCCACTTGCCACAAACCCCACAAGCGGGATATTCTCTAGTCTTGCGGCCGCGAGTGTCAACCTTGACGGGCAGTCTGTTTTGGATTCTGATTGCGCCTCTGTCGTTTCCGTGGCCTCTCGGGGCCCTCGGGGCCGCCTCGGGGGGCAGCGGGCCTACGCCGGCTCGGTGCTCGAAGCCACCTCGGGTGTTGGGCCGCGTGTAGAAGGCCTGGTAAAAGTCTCGGCTCACAAGGATCTGGGTGAGGATGACATTTCTGCGCGGGGGCGATGGCGCAGGACTGGCAACCAGCATGCAGACACAGCATCCAAGAGAGGAGCTAGAGGAGCTGGTCTTCAACCTCAGGCCGAGCCTGAAATCTTGCAGCGCATCGATCGCGCTGTTAAGATTGCCAAATCTGTTACGTTCTTCACTGCGAAGCTACTGCCGAAGTGGCCTCGCCTCGATGTCTCGCAAGCTGAATTCATCAGGCCTCCGAGAGACGTGAGTTCTTCGGAGTCCGTGGCCCACGAAAGGGCCTGGACGGGTGAGTATTGGCAGCGCGCGTCACGTCTGCGAGGAAGGCGGGGTGCCGTTTGCCCTCCACCTGGCCGATGTGGTGTACCGCCGAGGCTCCGCCCTAGTTTGATCGATCAGAACGGCCACCAGTGTGCGGTCGTTGATTGCTCGGGTGGCTCATTCCTGTGCATCTGTCGCCGATGCGGCTTTTACAGTTCAGGAGGCCGCGTGATGAAGTTGGGTGCCCCCTGTGCCCCGTCGAAGACGGGGGTTGGGCACGCTGCTTGCACATATTTTTCGCAAGGCAGGCACCCACAGCAGATCAACAGGGATAATCATGTCAGATTCACCCCGTCTCCTTGGGCTGTACAGCGGGGAGATACATCAGACGGGCCCCCCGGCGAGGGGGTCAAGCAGCAGCGGCGCGTGAACGAATCCTCCTCCTCCTCCTCCTCCTCCTCCTCCTCCTTCTTCTCCTCCTCCTCCTCCTCCACCTCCTCCCCCCCCTCCTCCTCCTCCTCCTCCACCTCCTCCACCTCCTCCACCTCCTCCTCCTCCTACTAGAGGTCGTCAGGACACGAGCCTGCCGTGCCTCCATTCCGATGTCGCGAAGTGCCTCTGGTGGCGTGGTCCTGTGTGCCCAGGGTGTCCCCCCCTCCCCCCCGTGTGCGGCGATGCGGCAGTCCAGTGGTGGATCGGGGGAAAAAATCGCAGGCCTAGAGACTGACACCAACACCAATGTCGGCGGCGTGCGTCCACCGAGGGAAGAAGATCCCGATTTCGGTGATGGTGGTCATATTATGGCTTCCAGAGTGACCGAAATAGTACCACCAACACCGAAATGTGGGATCATCTTCCCCCAGTGGAGGCACCCTCCTGTGTTGGTGTTGGTGCCCATTCCCAGGCCCCCAAAAAAGGCAGGTAAGAGGAGGAGGAGGAGGAGGAGGAGGAGGAGGAGGAGGAGGAGGAGGAAGAGGAGGAGGAGGAGGAGGAGGAGGAGGAGGAGTGCGCTACAAGCCGTCGTCTGGCGCGGGGAGGAGTTCTCTTGGGGAAAGAAAAGGCAGTCAAGAGTTCTGATGTTCCAATCCCGGATCACCAGAAAGATCATTGAGAAGCAGAACAGTTTCGCAATTCGAGGGTTTTTACATGTCGGGCCCTGGGAAACACTCGTCCGACACTGTTTCGACATTGTTTCGGCACTTATCCGGGTGCTCGACATTATTTTTGGGATGTGGTTTTTGAGTACGATGGGAGCAGCCTACGTTCAGTGGTGGATCGGCAGGCAAGAGGAGGAGTGCGCCACAAGCCGTCGTCTGGCGCCGGGAGGAGTTTTCTCAGTCAAAGTTCTCTCACAATCAGAGGCGACGAAAGGGGCGAATAGCTCAGGGGGGGGGCAATACATGTATTCAGGGGCGCCGATGATCCATGTCTTCAGCGAGGCCCGGAGGGGGTACGTGTAATGCTCTCCCCTGGGCTATTCGCCCCTATCGTCGCTTCCGACACGAGCGGGCAATAGGTAGGGCACGTTTGGCTGGAGCAAGGGTGGTCTTCGCGGCCCATCCCGCCTTCAGGGTCTCCTGGTGCCTGATTTAGGCTTCTCTGGGACCTCCTGGAGCTTCTGGGGGGCTTCTCGGGGGATTGTTGGCGATCTCTGAGATTGTTTCGGGGCGGAAATCACACACATTGGTTCGTGTTTTCCCTCTGGGACCTCTCTGGGGGCCCTCTAGGCAGCCTTGGGGGGCTCTCTGGCCGTCTCGGGGCCTTCTTAGAGGTCTCTTGAACCGTACTAGGGCGATCTTTGGGGCCTCTTGGGCTGGCGTGGAAGGTCGAAAGCTTGAAAAAGTGAAAACGCCAAAAAGCTGTTTTAAAGCTATCGGTACAGCAATGATGTTTGCCCTCGGGGTCCCTTTGGGGGCTTCTTGAAGCGCTCGCCCGGCGACTCGGGTCCCTATTGGGCTGTGTTGGAGCCATCTTAGGGCCTCTTGGCCAGACATGGGTCCCGTTTGATTCTGAACGGGTCACGCGAGACCACGCGACAATCCCCGAGAGGCACACCACACGATAATTCTAAGGGACTTGATGACAACCCAACTCGCGTATGCATTCGCATATCGTGTTACGTGTATGAACTAGTATGTGTACATATGTGCCTGTATGATTGTGTGCATATGTGTGTACAAGTTAGGATACGTCTATGTGAGCACAATCATGATAATATAGAGCTGTCTAGTTATATATACAGTTGCAAGCACATATGTTTAATTATATATGCATATATGTATGTGTGTATGTATGTATGCATGCATGCATCATGTATGCATGTATGTATGCATGTATATGTGCATGTATGTATACATGTAGGTATGTAGGAATGAATATATGCGTGCACACACAGGTTTGTGCTTGAACATGTCGATGAACGTGCGTATATATACATATATATATGTGTGTATATGCATATATATAGTTTATGTATACATATATATATATACACACATATATATATATAGGTTTGTGTATACGTATGTGTGTATGTATGTGTGTATGTATGTATGTATGTATGTAGGTAGGTAGGTAGGTAGGTAGGTAGGTGGGTGGGTAGATAGGTAGGTAGGTAGGTAGGTATTTATGTTTGCATGTATGTATGTATGTATGTATGTAGGTAGGTAGGTAGGTAGGTAGGTAGGTAGGTAGTTATGTATGTATGTATGTATGTATGTGTGGGTGTATGTATGTGTATACATGTATACACAGATCTAACAAATACGCCCCTCCTGGAGCGTTCCCTTTCCCGAACATGTGGTGGCCCCCCCCGGCCTCCCAGGGAGGCCCCAAAACGCCCCATGACGGCCCAGGACGGCCCGAGATGCTCCAAGGGGGCCCAGAACGCGAAAGGACGGCCCATGACGCTCCCAAGCAGCCCAAGACAGACAGACTTCTGACGGCTCCCCAGGCATCCAGGAGACCTCCAAGAGGCCCCAAGAGAGCTCCGAGAGGCGTCCCGGGAGCGCCCGACGAGGCCAAAACCGTTGATTTGCATAGTTTTTGCTTGAGGTTCGCCTTCTCGCGTTTTCGAGCTTTCAACGGTCCAAGACGGCCGAAAAGGGCTCCCAAGACCGCCCTAAGACCGCCCAAGAGCCCCCAAGACGGGCCAAGAAGGCTCCAAGACGGCCCCAAAACGGCCCAAGAGCGTCCCGAGGCAGCCCAAGAGAGCCCCGAGATGGCCCGAAAAGCCGCAGAGGCCCCCAGGAGGCCCCAAGATTCCACCAAAGAGCTTGAAGAGGCCCCAAGAGCATCGGAGAGGCCCAAGAGTGGAACCAAGAGGCCCGAAAGCAGCCCCCCAGCGGCCCCCAAACTGCCCCCCAAGAGCCCCCTGCACGCCTCTTGCCCCCCCCCCCCCGATTCCTGCGCACTTCATGTTAGGAGGCCCCACTTGAAAAAAAAAGAGTTCCAGTGATTCTCTTTCAGTTCAAATTCATCCCGAGCCCCATCAAGACTTCGGGATCACACTGCACAGATTTTCGGGAGTATTGTTCAACTCTCTGACGCTGCCTTGGCACTCTCTTGGGTCGTCTTCGTGGCTTCTTGGCTACCCTTGAACTCACATCGTATAAATCGAGATCCCATGGATTCACGAGCAGAGGTCCCGAGCCAGACCCCTTCCCCCCTTTCAGCCCAATGTCGAAACGCCGAGTGAAACAAAAAACGCCAGGTCCAGCGCGAATCCGAGAAATCCGCGCGGACCTCCGAGTTTTTATGGTTACTTATGGCGTTGCTCGCCCCCTCACGTTCAGTCGGGACTGTCCCTCTACAGGGGGAATATTCCGAAATAGTCAAAACATAAACATAGTCGGGGGACGTTTCTTTTGTTCGCGTATGTTTGATCATTGTTTGAACATGTTTGGGGTATGAGCGTATGTTTCGCCCAACATCCGTTCATTGTATGAACATGTTTGATCATTGTTTGAGCGTATGTTTCGCCCAACATCCGCCTGTAGGGTTATGATGGTCTTACCTACTTGAGCCTTGATCATCTGAAACAATTTCGAGCACCAGACACGTACCCAAAAACTATGGTTTTCACGTGCTGGGCATTGGGAGACACTCGACCGACACTGTCTCGACACTTTCGACACTTTTACGGGTGCTCGAAATCATGTCTGGAATGCGGCCTTCAAGCACGATGGGAGCAACATGAGTTCAGTGGTGGATCGCGAAAAATAGGCGGGCTAGAGGAGGAGGAGGAGGAGGAGGAGGAGGAGGAGGAGGAGGAGGAGTGCGCTACAAGCCGTCGCCTGGCGCCTGGAGGAGTTCTCTCAGTCAAAGTTCTCTCAGGATCAGAGGCGACGACAGGGGCGAATAGCCCGGGGGGGCGGCAATGCATGTATCCAGGGGCGCCGATGATCCATGTCTTCAGCGAGGCTCCCGGAGGGGGTACGTGTAATGCTCTCCCCTGCCCGATCGTCGCTTCCGACACGAGCGGGCAATAGGTATTCTGTAGGGGGCACATGGCGAGGCGTGCGCGGGCGGGCACCAGACGCCCTCGCAGGCCCACCCAGCGCGCGGGGCGGCCACGAGCCTTCCACGGGTCTCCCACGCGTCGGGCGAAGGCCCAGCGGCAGGGCGCGCACGCGTCGAGGACAACGGGCGGGCGCGGGGCGAGAACCTGGAGAGCCCCAGGGCGAGCACACAGTTGGGGGTTCAGTCGGGCGTGTCTTCTTTCTACAGGAGGTACCTACAAAAGGGAAACAATCGTCCAGGGACGATTTTCCTATCATTTATCAAATGCGTTGGAGCATTTTTTATTTTTTTCGTCGAAAATCCGCCTGTAGGGGGACTTGCCCGACCGAAGCTTAGGGTTTAGTGTTTAGGATTTAGGGTTCAGGGTCCACTCGCCCAAACTTGAAACCTGTTGGACGTATCCCACCCACCCATGACCCAAGACATATTGATTTCAAAACGACGACGACGATACCGATGGTGAAGACGACGATATTGATTTCAAAACGACGACGACGACAGTCGCGCAAAGTCTTTTGGGAAACCGCTGCAACGGCGATGCGGCACGCGCGCGCGACGACGCGATGAGAAGAACCACGTATATTTACGCGAGTCCCTGCGCGTCGCAGGGACGCCGTCCAGCGGCGGTGAGATTGCATGGAGTGGCTGCGAAACGAGCGCGGGATAGCTCGTTGCCCCGACGAAACGGATCCCCAGTTCGCATCCTTAGCTCCGCGGCGCGGTGCGCGAAGGCCGATGCAAGGGAGATGCGATGCGCGCACGCGAAGCGACGCAAACGAGTAGCTCCCCGCGGCAATTGACCGACGCCTTGGCGATGCATACTCCGGCTTGCCACGAGGCGCGCGGGAATGTTCGTTGTTTGGCGGGGCATTCCGAGGGCGGGGATCTGCGCGAGGGTTGCGCCCTGCGTTTTGCAAGTGCTCTCGGAACACCATGCACTCCGAGGGCAAGGACCTGCGCGAGGGGTGCGCCGAAATTTGCGGCGGCATAAGGGGGCGCGGAAGGAGTTGTTTAAGGAACTTTCCGGGATTTTTATATTTAGAGGGTCTTATTTCTTAGGGTTTGCGCTGGAGAAGGCGCGCGCTGGCTGCGACCCTCCCCGCCAGGAATGTTGGGGGGGATCGCTGCCTACGCCGCGCGCGCTCCGAACTTTGCACTTCCGCCCCAGACCGCCCACAGTGAAGCCTTTTAGGGCTCAGGGCTTCTACCCCCCAGCCCCCCTTTCAAGGTGGGCTTTCGTGTCCGGCGCGCAAGCGAGCGTGCTGTTGCGAGCAGGCCGAAACGGCCCGGGCAATTCGCGCGCGTTTGAACACGCGCGCGATGCGCTCTGTGCAAGCGCGCGAGCCAGCCTTCCCGAGCTGTTGGCCGTGGCCTTCGGCTTCGAGTTGCGCCGCGGGGCTGCCGCAGGCGCAGAAGTCCACGGGTGCGCACAAGTCCGCGGCTGACGGCGATCCGCGCGGTTGTAGCATTCGCTTTCGCCGTTGGGCTTGGCCGCTGGTGTCGCCCCCGCTGAAACGATTGCATGATCGCCGCCGCCGCGCAGTGCGCTCTGTACAGGCGCGCGAGCTCGCCTTCCCGAGCTGCTCGTCGTGGCCATTGGGTTTGAGTTGCGCCGCGGGGCTGCCGCGGGCGCGGGAAACCACGGGGGCGCAGAAGTCCGCGGCTGACGGCGACGCACGCGGTTGTAGCATTCGCTCCCGCCGTTGGGCTTGGCCGTTGGCGTCACCCCCGCTGAAGCGATTGCATTATCGTCGCCGCCGCGCGATGCGCTCTGTGCAGGCGCGCGAAGTTGCCTTCCCGAGCTGCTCGTGGTGGCCGTTGTGTTTGAGTTGCTCCGCGGGGCTGCCGCAGGCGCAGAAGTCCACGGGGGCGCAGAAGTCCGCGGCTGACGGCGACGCGCGTGGTTGTAGCATTTGCTTTCGCTGTTGGGCTTGGCCGTTGGCGTCACCCCCGCCGAAGCGATTGCGTTATCGACGCAGCCGCCTTCGGCGCGAACTTCCCATGGCTGGAGGGGGGCGCGAAGGGGTGGGCGTGGCACGTCTTCGCTACGATGCGCGGGCATGGCTGCGGCGGCACCTGCATGGCGGGAGAGCGCTTGGGAGTGCCGGCGATCGTTCGCGAGCGCCTGGGAGCGCTTGGGGGCGCCCGGGAGCGTTGGCGAGCGCCTGGGAGCGCCGCCAGAGAGCATTGCGGGGTGTTTGTGAATGCTTTGGGGTGCCTGGGAACGCATGTGAGCGCCCTGGGAGCGCCTGGGAGCGCTTTCGCGCGCCAGGGAGCGCGTGGGCGCGTTTGCGAAAGCTTGGGAGCGCTTGCGAATGCTTGGGGGAGCTTGAGGGCGCCTCGTAGCGTTTGGGGTCGCATGGGAACGCTTGGGAACGCTTGCGAGCGCCGTGGAGCGCTGGGGAGCGCCTGGGAGCGCCGCCGATGAGCGCGCGGGAACATGTGGGAACGCTTGGGAGCGCCTAGGAACGCTTGGAGGCGCCAGGGAGCGCGCGGGAGCGCCTAGGAGCGCTTGGGACACTGTGGGAGCGCTGGGGTTTGAACCCGAGGGCACCGCGTGCTGTATTTTCATATGGTTTGCGGCCCCATGGACGGCCGAAAGGGCGCCGCGTGCAGTATTTTCATAGGTTTAGAGCCCCAGGGGACGGCGCCGACTTTTCATTAATCGAACCAGCGGAGCCGTACACGTGCGGCGTGCGAATGCCTCCTCAGCGCTGCGCGCTTCGTCGGTGCCACGGACGTGGAATGGGTACGCTCGCTGTTCGCTCGGCCAGACGCCGCGGGCTCCGACTCTGCACAACCCGCGGTTTGCAATTTAGGGCTTGCACCCACGAGCGAACACCCGGCAAACACCCTGAAGTGCCACCTAGCACGAGCCTTCCACGGGCCGGCACCGGGAGAAAACCCAGAACCTCCACCCAGAACAGGGCGCCCACGAGTCGACCACGGGCGGGCACGGGGCGAGAACGTGGTGACGACCGCCTACCGCGAGGAACCCCAGGGTGAGCACTTGGCGAACACTAGGGACTACAGGCACGGCGCCCACAGGCAACACCTTGAAAATCGCAGCCAGCGCACGGGGCGCCCACGATCAACGAGCGCGTTCCACGACTCGCAAAGTGCATATTCGCAAACGCCCTGTCTTCTTCGACGTAATTTAGCGTCAATCCCCCACGGCGCGCCTAGGCCATTTTGCGGGTAGATATTTTGCGGGTGGTTGAGTGCGCTCGTCTACGCGAGGCGCCCACTGCCGGGTACCAGCGCAAAACCAGGTAATCCGGGCCAGTTGTGGAAGAGAGCACGCAGGAACTCTCGCAGGAACCCCAAAATGCAAGAGTTGCGTTGGACATTTTTCATAGCCTTGGCCACCTCGCCATGTGAGTGCCTTCCCTCTCTTCCTCCCGCTTCGCGGCCGCTTTCGCCCGTTTCTCTCCGTACCGCCGGCTAGTTACCGATATCCATTTCATGAACCGCTTGAGCGTGCGCGCGGACTGCCTCTGCCGCGCTGCGACGTAAAAAGGGTATGAGTTTACCTGAAAGGTGGGCAGTGCACTTCGTCATTTTCTATGACTGTTTTCGCGCTGGAGTTTAATTCTTTTTTGGCAATATTACACGCACTATCTGTACGTTGGGTATTTTTCTTCTCTTCTGAAGTATGTCTGTCTGTCTGTCGGTATGGCGGTATGGCGGCTATGTTGCCGCCGTAACCGCCCCGTCGCCGCGTCGTCGCCGCCCGTCGTGTTGACCTGTCTGTCGGTCGCCGCGCTGGTTGCCGCCCCGTCGCCGCCTCGTCGCCGCCTCGTCGCCGCCCGTCGTTGGGGCCTGCCTGTCAGTCGCCGCGTCTGTTGCCGTCGTCGCGGACCCGGCGCCGCACCACATATACTGCACAACAAAAGGTTGCACAATCTCTCTCTCTCTCTCTCTCTCTCTCTCCCTATATATATATATACAAATACATATATTTCAGCACGCAGACTGCACCACATGGATCTTGCACAACATAGATCGATCGCACCACAGATATTGCACCACAGAGATCTCACAACACATATTCCACCACATAGACTGCGCTACAGACGTTGCGCGTCATACGTGCACGCAACATAGGCGGCACAAGCTATATTGCATCACATGGATCCTTCCAAATAGTTTGCCAGAGGAATGCGCCACATAGATCGCACCCAGAGGCTACACAACATAGACTCCACAGCGCATATTGCACAGCATGTTTTGCACGGCGCTCATTGTTTCTCTTAGATGCCATCTGATGGATCGCGCCACATAGGTTGCATACCATGTATTGCAGACGACATAATGTACCACATCGGCTGCACCGCACAGATTCTACAACATATATTGTACGTTATATATTGTACCACGTAGATTGCACCACTTTCATTGCATACATGTATTGCTAGAAACGCACTGTTTGGGTCACTGCTGGCTAACATATCCCTGCGTTCGACGCCGATGGTCCGAAGACAGTGTCGGGCATCGGAATCGGCGGCGCAGGCATTTTGGTTCCTGCTCAACATCTCAATCGGCATCGTCACAAAGTCGCTGTTTCTGAACGAGCAGGTGTGCTTGAGAGAGTATGGATGCCATAATTTCAAGTTCCCATTAGCGATGACTTGCATTCACTTGATGACGACGCAGGTTTTTACTTACATCCATGTGTTCGTCATCAGGGGGTCCGCAAATGGGCCAGAGCTCGACTGGCCGGCACGAGTGCAGAAGGTCGTGCCCCTGGCCCTGTGCTTTGCGATCGCCGTGGGCCTCGGGAACGTCTCCCTGAATTATCCAGGTACCTGCGGCAATTTCCGCCGCCGTGCCACGGGCCACAGGCTCCGAGGGCGGGATGAGGTGGCGCATGTGAGTGGGTGGGGAGGAGAGGCCGTTGCCTCAGAGGCGTACGTGAGTAGGAGGTTGCACCACAGGATTACACATACTCTACCAGATCCCACCGTCTCAGCACGCCCACGGCGTGCCGATATTGCTGGCGGATCTGTATCCGTCGTACAAGTCCATGGTGGGCGGCGGGACTCCTTTTGTCACGGTCCTCATGTCTGTCTTATGCGGGCGCCTGGCGGCGCGCCAGCGTCACCCCACAGTCAACGGCCGCATCTGTGACGGCGCTCTTCTCGTCTAGGGGGCTTCGAGACTGTCGAGCATCGGGGTTCTCGGACGTGATCGTGGCTTCTCGGCGGTTTCCCTGCTTCGGGGTGCTTTCCCAGCAGTAGCGCCTCGCCGAGAGCGGTCTGGGGGTGCCCGGATCGTCCCAGACGTCGGGGCTGGACAGAACCCCCAACAGTGACACGTCGATTAGTGAATTGTCCGTTTTCGGTTCTCGAGAGGGCGCCGTGGCCGTTATTTTCCAGGCTTGCGCCCGCCAGGTTTGGGCCTCAGGTCGTTTTCACTAAACCACGTTTTACTTAAGGGGGGTCTGTCCATCCCCGAAGACGGCGGCCGGAGAACCGACAGCCAGACGACGAGCGGTCGCCGCTGGTCGTCGCCCCGGGGCTCGGGAGCCCATCAGAAGTTTGTGGTCCCTTGCCCTTTGTGCCAACACTTGAGGCAGCGAGAGATAGACACAGATAGAGAGAGAGAGAGCGAAAACAACACAAAAACAGCCTGCTCAGTGTTTCAAGCAGCACGTTTCCGCAGGTGATCTCGCAAGGCGTTCCACCAGGCTTCTGGCGAGGCACAGAGGTTGTTCAACCTGGGATATCAGGTTGCAATATGTTTTTGGGCAGCGGTTTACCAAACTTGATGAATGGTTTGTAGAAGTGTCTGTGTTGCGAAGGCCTTACGGCCGGTGCCGCCGATCCTGAAGGGAGACGATGACGACAACGGCGGCGGCGGCGGTGACGACGACGACGACGACGACGCTGACGTGGGCCAGAGGGATACTTCTCTGGGTCTCTTCGGAAGGCTCTCGGGGGCCTCTGGGGAGAAATTCTGGGGCCTCTTGGGAGCCACTTGGGAACCTCTTGGAGCCTCTGCGGGCTTCCTAAGGACCTCTTGTGGGTCTCCTGTGGCCTTTGGGGGACCTCTTGGGGCCTCCTGGGAGCCTCTCGGGGCCGAGGGCTCGAAATGTCCGTTCGGGCCCCCCCGTCTGGGCACGCTCTTGAAGGAAGCCGTCTTGGATGCGTGTCGGGCCGTCTTCGAGTCGTTCTGGGGTGTCTTGAAGTCCTCTTGGGCTGTTTGGGGGCCCTCTTGGAGGCCTTTTGGGCCGCCTTGGAGAGATCCTTGAGGCCTCTTGGGCCATCTTGGAGCGGCGGGGAGCAGAAAAGGCGTGAACGTCCAAATGTTTCTTTGATCGAAAAAAGATTTCCTTGTGGGGCCCTTCTCGTGAGTACTCTTAGAGGCTTCTTTGGGCGTCATGCTGGCCTCTGGGGCGGTCTGGACGGTGTGAAGGCGCTTTGGACCGATAGTTTGGCGATTCAGGGCCTTCTTGGACCGTCTCGGGGGCCTCTGGGGGCACTCGTGGCCTGTCTCGGTACGTTCGGAGGCCTCTGGACCCGCAGGGGGGGGCCGCGTATCTGACCCCCCCCCCGGGGACCCCCCCTCCCCCCTGCCCTTTTCCCAATCCCCCCCAGGACCCCCCACCTCCCCCGACGGGTGAGGGATGAAATGGAAGGGGCTCCCCTTCGACTCGATTAGGACAATGCTAGATATTTCTCTCGCTGACAGGCTTGAGGACTTGGGTGCAGGGAAAGGGGACGACGGAGACGACGACTGGCGGAGACAATGACTCGAACAGACAAGCCATTCACACCACGCCGACAGGGTCGGCAGACTTCACCTTCCCTACAGAAGCCCTCCTGCCAGGTCTGCAGGGAGCGTCGCCTGCGATCTGGCGGCCGCCAGTGCCGGCTCGAGGATGATACGTCCCAGTGTGGACCCAAGATGCAATTCCGGACCGCCCCAGCCGGATGGTTGCTCGAGGATGTTCGAGTGAGGGTTGCTAGAACGACACAAAGATCGGGACAAAATCGGATCGGGATAATTCGAGATCTCTGAGAATCGGCGGGTTTGGAGGATGTATTGGGCGCCGCGGCCGCTCCAGAGCGTTCCGGAACCTTCTGAGAGCGCTCCGGAACGCTCTGGAACGATTTATCCCGATCCTAGCCCTGTTTTAGCTGCAATGAGTGAGTGGCTGCTCGAGGATGGCGCGTTTCGGGGTCAGACGCTGGTGTGTCCCGGGACAGTTCCAGGTGCATTCCGACCATACCGTCTCGAGGATGGTCCGCCCCGATTCCAGACCATGGTGCGCGTCGGGGCCACACAATGTTGCGCCCCGCTTATTCAGAGCGGTTCAGCGAAAGGATGGTGAGCCGCGTGGCCAGACAGTTTAGGCTGCAAATCTTGGGAGGTTCAATTCGGCATCGGCCCTGGTATATCCGTGGTCGGCGCAGTCCCGATTAATTCCGCTAAATCCCGTTCTGGAATCAGGCGCTTAATCCACCGTAATCCGGCTCAGCGGTCCTCCCATCGGGGGCTGCGTAGCCCTTCTTCGTTCTTTCAAAGATTTCCTCGCAGTTGCCTCCTCAGACAGTGTGGCGTCCCAGGATCTCTCCAGATGTGCATTCACTCGGGAGGGAGAAAACACACAGACACAATTAATTCGTCGACTCCCCAGAAAATATGGGAAAATGTGGGAAGTGGGGGGGGAGACAAAAACCCAGATCATATGGAGGAAGATTTAGGGAATCCTGTTATATGTGTATATTATTTGTGTGTCCCAGGGTCCCTTCATTTACGCGTGCCGAGGCTTCCCCAGCATAGAATCCTACGACAGTTCACGCTGGCGGTGCTTCGGGTGGGCCACCCCTGTCGGGATTGGGGGGCCCGGGCTGTGGCCCGGGCCTCGATCTGGTGGTTTGCAGGATGCGATCTGCCTTATTTGTTGACGGGTCCGTTTTCAGCCACTACCACCACCATGCGGAGGACGGGGAGGGGGTCCTCCTCCGCCTCCTCCTCCTCGTCCTCCTCCTCCTCGTTCTCCTCTTCCTCCTCCTCTTCTCCTCCTCCTCCTCTTCCTCCTCGTCGTCCTCCTCCTCCTCTCAAGCCATTTCGGCTCAAGCCGGGGGTACCAGACGGTGCTTCGCCTTTGGGTCGGCTTTGGTGCTTGAGCGAGGCGCCTTGGGCATCTCACCCCGCTCCTGACACCCAGCGAGCAGCGTGTTAACCAAAGCCAGAGCTTATCCGCACACCAGCAGCAGCATGGGGCCCGTCACTCGTATTTGGACCCGCTGCCGCGGCTGCGGCGCATGCGAGTACAATGACAAGTTGGACCAGAAGAGCCCGTGCTGCCCCAAGTGCCACAGGAGGCCGAACTTGCATAAAGGAAGAGCCCGTCCGCGCTCGCCCTCTCGGTCCCCAGGACGCGTGCAGATCGGCGATTCAGAGATCATTCCCCTCCACGACCCTGGGGCCGCCACGAACTCCAGACTCTCAGGAGGCAGCAACAAGAAGAAGGGCTCAGTCACCAGCCATTTGCAGTCCGCCCTGGTCGAGGCGACCGACCCGCAGCTGCGCGGCATGCTCCAGGTTCAGATCTTGAGAATCGAGGCCGCTGAAGAGCACAACGCAGGCGGCTCGACGGTCACCACCGTCGAGGCCACGAAGAAAGCTGACGGGGCTTGGCGCGCCGCCTCGAACAGGCACAACCAGCTCGTCGCCAACGTGCTGAAGCTCAGGGAGAGTTGGCGAGCCGCAGAAGCCAAGGCAGCTGAGGCAGCGCTAGTTCTCGCGCGGGCGGAGGCCACCAAGAAGAAAGCAGCTACCGCTCTCGCGCAGGCCGAGGGCGTTGGCCAGGCCGGCGCACGCGACGGCAAGAACGAGGGCGGCGCCGTGTTCCCCGTCATCTGGGACGCCCAGCTTTTCGCCGAGACGGAGGAGCTGGATCTGGAGGAGGCCGAGCGCACGCGCACGGAGCTCACCAACGTCAGGCAGGCGCTGGAGGGCCTAAAGAAGCAGTTCGACGAGAAGGAGCCGCAGATGCAGGAGCTCATCAGGCGCGCCCACGCGGTGCGCAAGCAGCAGCAGGAGCGGCCCGCCAAGAAGCGCAAGGGCGCCGACGGCACCACCGCGACGGCGCAGCAAGGGGCGTCCGCAGGAGGCGCGGCGGGGCCGCCAGCGCGGCCGACGGCCAGGCGCAAGCGGACGCCCCCGCCGCCCACTCCACCGCCACGGCGGAGCAGGGGGCGACCACGCAGCAGGAGGCCGAGCGGATCTTCGCCGCCAAGTTTGCAGCCCAGGAGGCGGCCACGGCGGCCAAGGGCAAGGGCGTCGCGGGCGCTGCGGAGGCGCCGCCGCCGCCAGCCGCGCGCGGCCCGCCAGCTGGGGCAACCGGTGGCGCCGCGGCCCCCGCATCCCATTGACTAGGGGCTGCGGCAAAGCAGCCCGAGGAGGCAGACACCAGAAAGACCTCCGCTTTCCTCTACAGCAACATCGCGTGCATGGGTGACAAGGCGTGGGACGTACCATGTTTTCGGCCTCGCAGAGACGCACGCAGGACCAGCTGACGCGGGCAGGTGGTCAGGCAAAGCTCGAGGACATAACCTCTGATTGTTTCACAGTGCTGATCACCCTTCTAAGTTGAAAAGTCTTGAGGTGCGACGTGATTCCGTCGACGAATCGCAGTCAGCTGGGCGCGCCAACAAAGGTGGCGAATGGATCTTAGCTAGAGGGCACCCTCAGGCGCACATCTTCCATGGGGGGACCCAATCATCTGCGCTCGAGGCGAAGCCCAGCAACAGCCTCGACGGTTTTGTGCCCAGTGTTCTGAATTTCGAGTAGTATTCGATAGTCGTAGTCGTCTTCTACGGAATCTGCCGGGTGCCCCATGTCCCGCGGGTCCTAGTGGGAGACTTGAACATCTCACCCCGAATCCTCAGGCTTCGGGCTTCTTAAACGAAGCCGGGGGCATAATTGCGCGCGCTGGCGTCGGATGCACTTTGCGACCCAGGCGGGGGCAGGAAGGCTTCCCACCTGGACTACCTAGTTCACAGCCATGCCGCCCAGCCCTACATTCAGCAGGTGAGCCCGATCCATGATGCACCGTG